CAAAGATAATTTTTTTGGACATATTTAATCATATGAGGGGAATGGTGTATAAAATGGCTGGATTTAGTGAAATGTAAAGTGAGGGTTTGCAACCTGAAGTTCTAAGACAAACTATATGCTGCTTGGAACCTAGTGGGAAGATGAAAGGGACTGTGGGATTCAAGTTAACAGTTGCATAGAAATAAAACCATGTTTAAATGCTGCAAAGGTCTGTGGAGGCTCCCTGGTTTTTTTTTTTTTTTTTTATTATTATTTTTATTAAAAATGGAGATATCCTATCTCCTAGAACTGGAAGGGACCTTGAAAGGTCATCGAGTCCAGCCCCCTGCCTTCACTAGGAGGACCAAGTACTGATTTTGCCCCAGATCCCTAAGTGGCCCCCTCAAGGATTGAACTCACAACCCTGGGTTTAGCAGGCCAATGCTCAAACCACTGAGCTATCCCTTCCTCCCCCCCGTTCAGGTGTTATGTCCTTGCACCTCTTGTTTACTCACTCCTGTGAGTACTTGCTGGTACAGGTCTCTCAAATCTCATTATGGGGTTCTCTTTTCTTATGATGCTGGGAGGGCATCTCTCTAGGCTCTAGTATAACAGGCTTTTGCCTCCACCTCTTCCCTTGTAGGCCGGGATATCATCGGGCTGGCAGAGACAGGCTCTGGCAAAACAGGGGCCTTTGCTTTGCCCATCCTGCAGACACTGCTGGAAACACCCCAACGCTTCTTTGCTCTTGTCCTCACACCAACCCGAGAGCTCGCCTTCCAGATCTCGGAGCAGTTTGAAGCTCTTGGATCCTCCATTGGCGTCCAAAGTGGTGAGTGGCCTTCTAATGGGCCTCAGAATTGTACAGTATTCGGATGTTACTGTGTGAAAATTTGAGGGAGTAGGACAAAGCTGTTAAACTGTAAGGAAGGGAGTAGAGAGTATGGAATGAGGGGAGATAGAAGAATAGAGCAAGGGAGTGGGGTTGGGGAAAGGATCATTGGTGAGGGGATAGTATTTATGGTGGTGGTATATCACCTTTCAGTGTGAAAAAGAGCATGTAGCCGTCTGTCTTCCCTGAGGTGTACATCCAGGCAGTGGACATTTCCCAAGAGGGAAGTAGGGAGGATCATCCATAACTACATGTTAAATTGTCAGCCATAAATTTGAGTCACCACCCCCAATGAATTGAATAGGGAAGTTCACACCTATCAGGCTTTCTTTGCAGACTCCCTGCATCAGTTCCATATTCAAATTAATGTTTTAAGGTTTAGTTTGCAACCATAAGGGCTAGGAACTCTGAATGAATGCACAGATTTTGCAGCTAAACTTAGCAGCAAGGGGTGGATTTTGCAGCTAGCTTTGTGACTGTGGAAAACATAGGGCCATGACAGTAAATGAGCTGGGACTTGAAATCTGGATTAGGATATCTGGGGGAAGACAGTTACTGGTCAGGGATGCCAAAATGTAGTTAAAGAGAATTCTTATTAAGATAAGTGGCTTTAAATTCCTATACATAAATTGTGGGTGGATTTGAGAGGGGACAGGAATAGGTAGATTGTTGGTTATAGTGGTGGCTTGTACTGGTTCTGTTTCAGGGGGACTCACTCTCCCTCTGTTTTTTTTTTTCTTCCCCACAGCGGTTATTGTAGGTGGAATTGACATGATGTCACAGGCTCTGACCTTAGCCAAGAAGCCACATGTTATAATTGGTAAGAAATCAGCATGTAGAATGATGCTTGTAATAAGATCACAGGCCTCCTAAGGAATGCGAAATGGTGGTGTTGGTTGTCAGAAGTTCCTATGTGTGTCTGGAGGGAGCAATGAGTGTAACCTCAGTGTGTTCCTGTTGGCTTTGAAGAAGGGACAGTGGATGCAATGCAAGCTCATCTCAAAATTGTCCAGCCAAGTTGCCTTGGGACTGGTCTCCCATTCTCCCCCAAGAACTCAAGCACCATGGTCTAGAGCTCTTCTCAGGATGCCTCTGATCTGGTCCACTTTTTCCCTTGGAAAGCCTGGTCTGGTTGTCTCATTTTAAGACAGCTCTGGTGCACAGGAGCTCTTCCATCCAGGGAAAATCAGTCTGCTTTGGCTTCTCACCAATCATCTTCAGTTCCCAGCACAGCTCCATGCTGCTGTGACTGCCTTTACAATCTTAAGCAAAAGAAGCCAATTCTATAGCAGAGTCCCTCCCTCCTCACTTGCAGTGCCTCTTCCCTCCTTACGTGGACTGCATTCTGGGACATTTTTCCCATTACTGTCACCTTTACCTTTCTTTTTGATTGTCTGTTGGTAGCAACACCTGGCCGCCTGATTGACCATCTGGAAAACACAAAAGGTTTCAACTTGCGAGCTCTTAAGTACCTGGTTATGGATGAAGCTGACCGGATCCTCAACATGGATTTTGAGACCGAGGTGAGGCCTACGATACCCGCCGTAAAGGAAAAGTCCTATAGAATTTAACAGATGAAATCAATGCAGTCTTAAGGAAACTATTCTAAATGTCTATAAGACTTAATAGAACAGTGGTGCTCAAATGGCGGGTCGGGTCGCCACCCCATTTTAATGGGGTTGCCAAGGCTGGCATTAAACTTGCTGGGGCCTGGGGCTGAAGCCGATGCCCAAGCCCCACTGCCTGGGGCAGCAGGGCTCAGTTTACAGGCCCTCGGGCTTCAGCTTTGCCTTCCTGCCCCCCTGGGGTGGCAGGGCTCGGGCAGTCTCAGGCTTTGTCCCCACTCCCGGGGTTGTGCAGTAATTTTTGTTGTCAGAAGGGGGCGCAGTGCAATGAAGTTTGAGAACCGCTGTAATAGAAAATGAAATCTTGCTGTAGCTTTATTAAACTATCCCACAGAACTTAATAGTAAATTCTATCTAACTTTTAACATCCCGTAGAATTCTCTCTTAAATTCTACACAATGATTTAAACACTTTAGAAATGAGCTAATCTCTGTTAAATTCTGTTGGATTCTTCCCTAAATGTTTATCTTGTTGTTCCTCGTTAGGTGCACGTGCTGATGTACACACTTCTGCAGCTATACTGCCTGTTGACTTTTGGAGTCCATGGTGACTGTCTAGGTGTCCCAGCCCACAATGCAGATTCATTTTATATGGCTCTTCTAAAAGAAGAAAGAACAGGAGTACTTGTGGCACCTTAGAGACTAACAAATTTATTAGAGCATAAGCTTTCGTGGACTACAGCCCACTTCTTCGGATGCAGTGGGCTGTAGTCCACGAAAGCTTATCCTCTAATAAATTTGTTAGTCTCTAAGGTACCACAAGTACTCCTGTTCTTTTTGCGGATACAGACTAACACGGCTGCTACTCTGAAACCTAAAAGAAGAAAGGGATTTATTGCGATGGCCACTCCTCCCGTATCCGACAGATTAGCATATGGCCCTGTATTCATATGTTCTCTGCATTCTCTGCTTGGAACACTTACTTGAAGGGCGCATGTCTTGACTTCTACTGTGCCTCAATAGCAGGTTTTGCCTCCTCCCTCTCTTTTACAGGTGGATAAGATCCTAAAAGTGATTCCCCGAGACAGGAAGACATTCCTCTTTTCTGCCACCATGACCAAGAAGGTGAGAGCATAACTTTTCTCAGATCAGCCTGTGTATGTTGAAAGTGGGGGAAGGGGTCATGGATTATCTGATAGATGTTTCTACACCCCTTTCCTCCTCCCTTAGGCTACATCTACACTATGAGTTAGGGATGTGATTCCTCTGCTCGTGTATGTATGCTCGTGCTAGCTCTCGTTGAGCTAGCACCTGTATAAGAGTGGCATAGCCGTGGAAACGTGGGTGGTGAAGGCATGGCTTAGCCATGCCACGTACAAATCTGCCTGAAACTGGTGGGTACATACTTGGCATGGCCCAGCTGTGCCTCCTACCAGTGCTACCGTGGCTACACTGCCGTTCATGCTCACACGATCTTGAGAGCTAGCACCTGCACACAAGTAGGGGAATCCTGCTCCTAGCTCGTAGTGTAGACCTAGTCTTAGAGCTGTGTTGCTGGAGGATTAGTGTCTTGCTAATACCGACTTATTTTGATTCCTCATTCAGGTGCAAAAGCTTCAGCGTGCTGCACTGAAGGACCCTGTTAAATGTGCTGTTTCCTCCAAATATCAGACAGTTGAAAAACTGCAGCAGCATTATATTTTCATCCCCTCCAAATTCAAGGTAATGCCTCTCTTCTCTCCCCATCCTCAAAGCCATTCTTCCCCCTTCTTCATAGTTACTCTCCTGCTCTTTCCCATCTTCTCTGGCTTATGGTTGAACTTGTCCTTTGCTCTCATGTAGGCTGTACCACTGCTGTGTTTGTTGATCCTTGCAGGACAGTTACCTGGTTTATATCCTGAATGAACTGGCTGGGAACTCCTTCATGATATTCTGCAGTACCTGCAACAACACTCAAAGGACAGCTCTCCTGCTCCGCAACTTGGGTTTCACTGCCATACCCCTCCATGGACAGATGAGTCAGGTAGTAGCCTATCTCACTCCTTGTTGTGTAGGTGTATATGAGATGAGGATGTGCCACTGTGTCATGACCAGCTCGGAGAGAAAAGAGACCATAACGTGTGTAGGACTGGCTTCCTAGAGCTTAATTTAACATTAATGCAGCCACCAAATTCCAGTGTACCAGTATCAGTTGTTCCAAGTGAAAGCTTAATCTCCCAATCCTTCTGTATACAGAAGGATAACAATAGTTTAACAAGAACAGGATCAGTACTTTGCTGTTTGATTCCTTAACTTTTGAGTTATAAACTTGTTTCTTTATTTTTCTTTCTACTATCACAGAATAAGCGACTGGGATCCCTGAACAAGTTCAAGGCAAAGGCCCGTTCCATTCTGCTGGCTACAGATGTTGCAAGCAGAGGTCTGGACATCCCACATGTGGATGTGGTGATAAATTTTGATATTCCCACACATTCCAAGGTGAGATACTCATCTTGATAACCAGGGGTGCCTATCACCTGATGCTTAAGATTGATCACCGAAGCTCACTACAGAAGACTTTCTCTTCTTTCTCCTCTGCTGACTGGAGCTCTTAGCTCACTCTTCTAGATGAAGCTGTACCATTTCTTTCTATGATGAAATTTTTACTTGGTCTTGCCTTTTGGGTATATTGGTATGTACTGCAGAGCAGGGGGCGTGATAAGTAGGGATGCTTTCTCTGTGCATGGGGGGGAGTGCCAGGGGGATAAATTCGTTTCTGTTGCATCATGCTAAAGGGAAAATATCCACTTTAATCTTGGGAAATATTCCAGTTTATAATGATTCCAGTTTCTGTATGTTGTGGACTTTAAAAAAAAAAAAAAATCAGTCAGTGGTAGGGTTTTTTTTTTTCTGTGTTTATAATGAATTTTCTTTGCAAGGGAGAAACTGATTAGACTAGAGTGCTGTGAAATTGTACAAATTTATCAAACGGAAACAGACACTTTACTAAACCTGAAGAGTTATTAAAATCTTAGGACATCTCTCTATGTAAGTCATAGCATTATCAGATGTGACTTTTCAAGTTGATGGCATTGCTTGTTAAGACTAACTTATAGCTCAATATCTGCTGTTAGGTAAACAATATTCAGTATTCTAGAAATTAAAACAGACTATTGTTTCCTGTCATGCTTATGGTGTACTAGACTCTGCAAACAAATAAGAGGGACATAGTCCCTGTTCTTGAAGATCTTAAATTATGAAAAGACTACGGGTAGATTATAAACCTATTGGGTCATCTAGTCCAGGATTTCTCAAAAGTGGACCACATCTGAATAGTTACTTGTGGACACCTCCCCTTGCAATTCACTGTCTCAGACCTCTTCCCCTCTTATTTCTTGCAATCGTATAACAAGCCAATGGAAAGTGTAGAAAAGTGGCTAAAGTATTTTTATCTGCCTTACTGTGGTTTAGGAAATGAGTTAGTACCATACAACTAGCAAGTGCTCCTCCTCTCAGTTAGGAGACTTCAGATCTAGTTCATCTTGCCCACTCAAGGCTGTTTCCCACTGTATGTTCTCCAGAGCTTTTGTCTTTTATTAAATGACCCTAGCAACGGAACTTCCACGTCCCGTAGACCATTCCACAGTCCAACAGACTACACCCAAAAATGTCTTGATAGTTCACCTTATTTATATAATGGTTTAATTTTGTCCTGCAGATTTTGCAGTGCAGTTGACTGTCAGAAAAGGAAAAAATGAGGAGGGGCACTGTTATAGGCCTATACCATAATTCAGAGATGGGTTAATGCCAGAGAACAAACTAGACAGCTGCTTTCACCATCCCCTCAATTCTCAGGGAGCTACACATGCTACTTCTTTGAGCATAAATCCTGACCGTTGTTTCTCCCCTTCCTCATGGCTTCTGTTTTGTCCTAGGGAAATGCATAGTCCTCCCTGCATAGCCATTTACCTGCTGCTTGTTGGGGCCTCCGTATACTTGGGCACAAAGTGCACTTCCAGGGACTGTTTTCAGTTCAGTATTTGGCGGAGCACATCCTGTTGCTGACTGAGATATTTGCTTTTAGGATTACATTCACCGGGTGGGGAGGACGGCTCGAGCTGGACGGTCTGGCAAATCCATCACCTTTGTCACTCAGTAAGTACCCTCAGGGTGTGCCTGCCTCGTCCATCCTGCTTCAGAGTAGGACACACCTGTCCTCCTGCTCCATGAGTAGGGAGCATCTTTTTTGCCCTGAGGAGCAGACAGAGTTCAGTGTGGTGAGCTCTAATAGGAGCTACATACGGCTGGCTGACTCTGGGTGGAGGCTGTGGTTAAGGAAAGCCCATACAGATCAGTCTTCCCAGGAATACTTTGGTTCTCATTTTTCCAGGTATGATGTGGAACTATTCCAGCGCATTGAGCACCTCATTGGCAAGAAGCTGCCTGTATTCCCCACACAGGAGGAGGAGGTCATGATGCTAACGGAGCGTGTGGCTGAAGCCCAGAGATTTGCTCGTATGGTATGTTTCCCTTTGTCCCTTGCTTCTCTCCATTGCCCTGAATTTCTCTCTGAATGAGGAGAGTTCTTGCAATTGCTCACCTTGTATGGGGGTGGGCGTTGTTTGTTTTTTCAGGAGTTGCGGGAGCAGGGAGAGAAAAAGAAGCGATCCCGGGATGAGGCCAATGATGACGATGACACAGAGGGAGCTACAGGTGTCAGGAACAAGGTGGCTGGTGGGAAAATGAAGAAAAGGAAAGCCCGTTAGCCAGATACTTAGACTTCTGTCCCCTTTGAGTTTACATGGGCTGGGGCAGTACCTACCACACAGTATTTCCATCAAACCTGAAGCCTCCAGAACTACACTTGTAAATGGCAGGCCAGTTGGAAAGAAATTTTCCATCATGTCTGCGTCTCCAGCACCGTCTTCAGTCATAGGGTGAACCTGCACCCTGGTAGTATACTGGAACCCGTCCTCCTACTCAGGGTTGGTATCTGTTCTAATGCTGGGCTGTAAGCGGGAGTCGTCTCCTGCAGCTGGACTGTCCCCTGGACCTGGAAGCAACAGTCTCCTGGCAAAACCCATTTTTATAGGGATTAAATGGGAAGTGTTGGCCTATGGATACCTTTTCCCCCAATCATGCTGCAGCCTATCATCACTCACCATCCAAACCTCAACGAGTGCCTCTTTATAAGACAATTGGAAGGAAGAAGAAAACTGAGAAGCACCTTAAATTTTTCAGAGTATGCATATGACGCTCCAGGATGGGATTCTTGCCTTGAACAGAGACACTCCTGCTGGGGCAAAAACTCCAAATATATTTTGCTTAACCACAAATCAATTTGCTTTTCTGTGTATTCTAACTTATTGTGCCACTTCTGCTAACTTTCAAAGTTATCTGTTTTAAGGGGTTTCCCTCCCATGTAGGTCAACATCATCTCCACCTATCACCATGCTTTCTGTGACAGCTGTCTGATGTCCCAGACATTGCAGTGACTTCATATAGTCTACTCCCGCTGGAGGAGAAATGCCAAGAAAATAGAGAGGCATGGGCAGATTTATGTATATGGCTTTCTATGCTCCCACTAGTAGTCACTGACTCCTGTAGTACCTAAGAGCCAACACGAGGGGGCAGTGTTACACAGTCAAGCAGCGAAGCCCTTTATGCTGGAGGAACAGTAATAGATTATCAGATGTTCTATTTCTGGCTTTTCCTCTTTATCCCAGTACTGCTTTCTTTGTGTATTGCTTCTGAGCTTAGTAGACTATAAGAAGTAAGAGAACCTCTGTGTAAAAAGTGGAAGAAAGAATTCAACTCCCTTTTCAATACACCAGCAGTCTGGTTCTAATTCCTACCGGTAGTAAACCAATGCTAATATGAGCTGAAAGGGTGCTCTTCAGTTACTTTCTAAAACATGCCACCTCCTCAGGCAACTGAATAATTTTGCTGTCTGGGTGGTTTACAAAGTGTCTGTTAGAGCTGGTCAGAAACAAGAATTTCCGTTCCCTAGAAATCCACATATATGGAGGAAGGGGTTCTGAATGGGAAGGAAAAACCAAAATTTTGACATTTAAAAATTCTGAAAAACTGATTCAGGGCCAGTTTGTTAATGTCAAAACATTAAATATTAAATGCAATATATAAAAGTCAGGAATAGTTAAGGTAAAAGTGTTTATCAAAAGCAAGTGTTCTAACTTTCTTGTGAACGTTCATCAAGATTAAACACATTCCTGCAAAATTTCAGTTTACAATAAATAGCATTTTCCAATAATACTTCTGACAAACGGTTGATGAGCTCTATGGCCTATAATACAAACATATGCCTAAGGTGGTGGTCAGCTGATGCATAATATTTATCATTAACCTTGACTGCCTTATCAGCTATTTATCCTGGTCATTTGCAATAACAACTTACTCATACCAAACATCCAAGCAGCTTCAACTGGATGTGCACCACCAAATTCTCAAGTCCATTCCTTCCCAAAAGAGTAGAATGCTATCACTTGGTTGAAGCCTGTGTAAGGGTGACAGTTTGTAACTCCTCAGTGCTAGACACAAGAGCGTTATGTTATTGTAAAGGAGTGTTTCGCTTTTCAGTGGGACTTCAAGCACTTGTTTCTGTCTCAGGAGCAGCTCACAATCCTGGACTTTGTGATCTTAGTTTTAGGTAAATTTGTACATATCAAGTACTCATTTAAAGACTTTCTCGTGCTCAGATTTAAAAATTTTATTAAAGTGAATGTTTAAAATTAAATATACACAGGTTAAGAGGGAAGGTACTGTACAGCTGGGGTCAGGCTTGGGTTGTGGGGGGTTACAGGTATCGGTTGCAAGGGTGAAGAGATACATACATATCACATAACTGGCCTAGACCCGGGGGGGGGGGGGTAAGAGTTTTTAAAGTGTCAGTGGATAAGTGGGCTCAGGTACGCCACCCATGGAATGTATAAGGAGTCCAAGTCAATATCGGTGTAACGAATGAGTACGTGGGTGGGGTGCGTCCCTTGGTTCGTCAGGGAAGGAAGTGAGTTATTTCCCTGGGCGGTGGTCTCAGTTACTCAGTGTGGTATTACTACAATGATACAGTTAATCTTCACAACACCTCTGTGAGGTAGGGAATTGCTGTTATCCCCATTGAAGCACAGACCAAGGGCTTGTCTACAGGAACAATTAGCCTGCAGGAAGCTGGATGTGATTCTACCCCCCCATCCGTCTGCTACAGTCTCTTTGTGGGTACCCTGCTGGCATGTAACAGCTCCGTGCAGCGATTTGATCTAGTAGTTCTTTTTGAGGAAAGCACATTAACAAGCATCTGCAAGGTGCAAAAGAGCAGTCACCCAACTTGCTGCCCCCCAGTTGTTTTTGGTGACAGACGCTGAGTGGTGATTTGCACCAAGTTTCATAGGAATTGTGTGGTGGAACAGGGAAAACAACCCCTGCTAGTACTCTAACCACTAGGTGCGCCTTCCCTTTTAAAAGCTTTAAATAAACCAGTGGTTCTCAACCCATGGGCTGCATGCGGCCTAGTTAGCACACAGCTGTGTGCTAAAAAACAATTCAAAATTTGCTGCTCCGGCCTGGCAGGGCCAACGGGGGGAAACGGTGGCAGACAGCCCTGCTCGAGTGCTCCTGCCAGCAATGGGTCTGTGAGTGCTGCAGGGGCCAGGGTGTGGGAGAGTGGGTCTCTGGGGGGGGGGGGGCTCTGGGCATTGAGGGGGTATGGGGTGCTGGTCAGCATAGGTGAGGGAACTATGGGAGTGGGGGGTGCTGGTGCACCCCTGGATTTTACGTGGGTCTCTGCTCCTGGCCCTGCACCAGGGTCCTATGTGTCCAGCAGGGCTCAGGTCTTGTGCCCAGTGTAATAGGGCCCTGCTCTATGGATAGGTCTCTGGGCATGGGGCTTGTAGCGGGGGGGGGTGCTGTGGTTCTCAACCTGTGGCCCTTGTAACACATTGCTACACAATGATAAATAGGTTGAGAACCACTGCTTTAAGCTTTATTTCTCCCTAAGCCCTACACAGTTAAACTAATGGTAATAGACCCTGGCTTTACAGATGGAGAGAGAGAGTTTAAAAAAAAAAAAGGAAGCAGCTTTTTAAAAGCTACCCTATACCTGCTGTGTAAAGTGTTTTATTTGGGCTCATTAGTGAGCTGCCGAGCTAGTAGCTTTATCACTCATGACTAACATAGTCAGCTCTGCCAAACTCGTGCTGATTAGCATGTTTGTTGCATAATCCTCTTATTGTCTGTTCTAAATATTAGTTGGCATGTGGTATGAGACGGCAATGAGAGACTTTGTCTCTTCTGGCCATTAACAATAGTACTGCCTCTGCCCTGGCAAAAATGTTGTTTTCATAGTTCTGTATTCCCAGGAGGTGAGACATTCCCAGTGCTCCATTCCTCCTGCCGCTTCCTTACAGAAATGATGTTTAAAATACTGCTTCCCGCCGTTGGAGATTCCAGACTAGTCACAGGGGCTGGGGCAAAAGAAGAGTAGTGGTGGTGGGCAAGAGTTATATGACCCTGAATCCACTGTTTTCCCGCCTGAAATTGTCCTTAAAATCTACATTCTCTCCCTGCGTCTACAGTGATCTCGAACACAACTGCCTGTAGGATTCAATAGCAGCTCACAGGCACAAACGCTGTGAGAGCATCTCAGTCCCCCAGCACTACTAAGTGATGTCCCCCGTCCCATCTACCCTGAGCAGCATGTAGCTTTCCACTGAGTAAGGGGAGTAAAACTGAAAATAAACACACAAAATAAAGAGAAAGGAGGGTGATTGGTAGGAAGGGAGAGCATGTTTATCCACCAATGAGTAAGGGAGCTTTGAACAAAAAGACTGAGAATTGCTGTCCTAAGGTTCCACACCTATAAAAGTGAGAGTTCCACCTTGGCTTAGGACAGGGGTTCTCAAACTGGGGGTCGGGACCCCTTAGGGGGTTGCGAGGTTATTACATGGGTGTCATGAGCTGTCAGCCTCCACCCCAAACCCTGCTTTGCCTCCAGCATTTATAACGGTGTTAAATATATAAACAAGTGTTTTTAATGTATAAGGGGGGTCGCACTCAGAGGCTTGCTATGTAAAAGGGGTCACCAGTACAAAGGTCTGAGAACCCCTGGCTTAGGATCTCAAGCTAAGCAGGGTTGGCCCTGCTGGTCAGTATGTGACGGTATGTTTATACAGCAATTAAGCACCCACGACGGGCGCATGTCAGCTGACTCAGGCTCATGGGAATCGGGCTGCAGGTCTGTAAAACTGCAGTGTAGATGTTGGGGCATGGGCTGGCGCCCAGGCTATGGGATCCTCTCTCCTCACAGGGTCCCAAAGCCCAGGCTACAGCCCTAGCCCGAATGTCAACGCCACAATTTTACAGCTCCAGAGCCTGATCCCTGAGTCACTTGACACAAGCCAGCTGGGGTGTTTAATTGCTGTATGGATATACCCTCAAAGGCCTCCAAGGAAAATCCTTGTATAGCTGAGAGTGGTGGTGGTGACTCAGTGAATGGCAAGCTTTTGTCTGAGTGAGTACTGAACAAGCATTGCAGTATGATTTAAGGGGTACTATGCTGTTGGAGTAGGGAGCTACCTTTTGATGAAACTTAAACCACAACTCAAGGAGCACCGTGGGGTAAAAGGCGAGCCAGAACACAAGCTTCTTCCTTCCAGTGGACATTGGCTCTTGTTCCATGGCACAGGATTGTGAATCTCAGATTCTGTCTTGCATGGGCACTAGGGATCCAAGATCCTCTGTTTCCTAGAAACTTTATAGGGAGAATGTGAGAGGAGGAACGCTCAAATTTCAAAGAAAGCAAAACCACTCCTTGTGAAGGAATATAGGGCGTTCCTCATGAGAAGGGGAGTGGTCCTGAGAGAAGAGGTATTGACGTCCTCCCCCGGGCTGGAATGACAAGAGCTATAAAATTCCTAGCACTAGAAAACCAAAGTGCTTTCCCCACCCACATTCCTGCGCTGCGCCTCACCTACTCAAGCAATGTGTGTTAATTTCAGCTAAAAATATCACAACACGTTTGAATACCGGGAAAGAGTTTCTTGATATGATTGTACCAAGAGCGGGTGCTTACGTAACCGAAACAAGAGGGAGTGGGGAAGCATAGGGTCCTAATACTTATTCTGTCCAGGAGGGTAGAGTGCTAATCTCACCCGCTATTAGCAACACCTGTATCTGATTTCAGAGTTGCAGCCGTGTTAGTCTGTATCTGACTTCACAGGATATGAGCAGGAGACACCTTTCTGTGGGGAGGGTAGCTTATGTCAGCCTAACTATGGAAGTGTCAACACTTAAATTTCACTCCCACCCACGGGCAGCTAGCATAATAGGCCTCGGGAGGTTCCGCCTCCGGCGCAGCTACCAGACCCCCGGTTGCAGGGTTTGGCGGCAAAGTTTTTGCTTTTATTATGCCCTATGCAGATTCCAGGACGGCTGAGGAGGCACATACTGCCTTGGCAGCTGCCCCAGAACCTGCATGGAGCATATCAAAAGCGTCTTCTACAGACGCTTTTCCCCTGGGTGGTGGGCAGGTTGGGTCCAGGGAGGGGAGGCACAGCACAGCTTCGGCCAGCCCGGCCAGAGCTCCTCCAGGCTTGAGGGGAGGCTCAGGGCTTTGGCCTGTCTGGCTGGGGCTCCTCTGCTCGGGGAGGGCTCAGGGGCTCCTCTAACCCAAGACGGGGGACGCTCTGGGCTGCAGCTGGCCCCGGGCTCCTCTGGGCAAAGGGGGGGAGTTTGTGGCTCTGACCATGGGGCGGGGGAGGCGCAGGGGGTCTCGGGGCTCTGGCTGTGGGGATGGTGTGGGCGGAAGGGGCGGAGCTGGGGGCTAGCCTCCCCAGAGGGGGGCTCCACCCGCTGCCCATGCTCCCACCGATGTCATTGCACTGCTACGCCAACTTAACTCCACCTCCACGAGCGGTGTAGAGTCAAAGTCGATGTCATTCGGTTGATGCAGTGTCAGTGTAGATACTGTGTTGCTTATGTCGACTGTTGTTGGCTTTCAGGAGGCTCACACTGACAGGACAATCAATACAAGCGCTCCTGGTGAGGACGTGCACCACTGACGCAAGGAGCAAAGTGTAGACACACACAAGCAATGTAATTACTGCGGCAGTTCTATGGTGATGTAAATTAGGTTGACTTAATTTTGTAGTGTAGATGTGGCCTCAGTCCTTGGCAGAGATTGCTAATAAGGCGGTCATGAAGTACTAATTTTGAGACGGCATTAGACTCCAGCAACTTATTTCAGTTAGGTTGTAAATT